CACCTAAGAGCATGCTAGCAACAACTGGAGTACCTGAGAGAGTACTTGGTTTGAGAGGCTTCTTAGAGACAGGCAGGCCAGATGAAGACCCATCCATTCGCCCCCTCTTCGGGACACTGCGAGGACCGCGAGGGACTAGACGAGGAACATATTCTTCATATATATCAACAAATCCAGAAGAAACCCCAGGAAGGGCGGTAGAGGTTTGGGACTTACTAATTGCGCGAAGTTCAAGCAAGTCTATATCCGATCTCCGCCACGGCGGGAAAGCGTCGAGGAGAGACCAAGGTCGACAAAGTTCCGCCCAAACTCCTGCGAAAAGGATAAAACACCGAGACAAAGAAAAGCTAAGCAAGAACGAATGCAGCTAGAGTGCATAAAGTACTCAAACAAAAAAGATAGACAACTCACATTTGGGGCGGGTTGTTGGTGAGAACTCGATGATGACGAGGGGAATGGCGCTCACCCTTTTCAAGCATCTTGAAGACGCCGAGTACCTCCTCACGGTCAGCTCAAGAGCTGGGACCATGCGTGAAGGATCCTCGGCCCCAGAATACTCAAAGCCAAGATGCTCCCGCTCTTTCAAGGGTTGAACCGGCTGACGAAGAAAGCTCGAAACAATACCAAAGCCGGTCAAACCTCGCCGCTTCAACATGCTAATCCTATCAAGGAGTGGTGGATCACTTGAATCTCAAAGTGAGCGATTCAAGTTTCTTGTCCCATCGGTCATTCACCATAGGACCAGATCCGGGATGAATGGCAAGGAAGGATTAAATTGGTAGCGTAAAACCACTCTAAGCACGCCAATCTTTTTACAGAATCGACCAGGTCATAGTCAAAAACTTAATTTTGAGACCACGACGAAACTGAATCCCGCAACCGCCAAGAACGCTGGTTTCTTCACGGCGGGGTTGAGGTTTCAGACGAAAGAAAAAGCGAAAAAGAGACAGAGAAGGAGGGATTCCAAGGAAAGCTTCGCAAAGATGAACGAAAATAGAAAGATGGAGAATGGCATTGGGGGTTAGGTGGTTCAGACTAATCCCGAAATAACCAAGAAACTGATGAAGGAAAGCGGAAGCAGGAAGGCAAAGTCCGGCGCGGACAAAAGAAACGAAAAGGACAATCTCACCAGGACCCGGAGCTGGAACCCGATGCTCGCCCGGAACCCTCCATTCAGCGATGACTTTGCTTTGGATCAAGCCATCGCTAACGAGCTCGCGCAGCTGGTCTTCATTTGTTGTTGGAGCCGGCCAAACCTTCTGAGCAGCCCTCATAGCCACGAACTCCTGGTTTTCGATCAAAGAAAGGGATGACTCCTCGTCTATGAAGGTCGCCTAAGACTTGCTTGCGGTTTTCTTCTTTCCCATGAACTGGCGGAAGCAAAAGAGGCGCTAAAGAAGATGTAGGATGATGGTGCTCAAGTTTCTGGCGACGTGTGACGGCGGATTTAAAAGCTAGGGTTTAAAGGCAAGAGTTGGGCAGCAAAGGGTCTTTAAATAGGTTTCTCAGCGATACAAATGGCCCACAAGGCCCGATAAAACACAATGTGGGAACGCGATGGTCCATTTACCGACGCAGCTAAAACAATGGAGGGCACAAATCCACACAATAGTACAAACCAACGGTCAAATTTCAGACTTATCCGTCCAAAGACCACAGCGGGGGTTATCGGATCGCTACAAGAAAAACTCGTCAAAAAACAAGAAGAAAGAAAGAAGAAAGAAAAGGCTACCTCACAAGGAACAAAAGAACCGGTTATTTGAGAAAGAACCCGGTAATCTCATGGACAACGGGGATCATAGCGAGAAAAGTAAAAGACAACTTCGAGACAAGATTCGTTTACATTACAAGCGAAGATTACAAATCTTAAAGACAAGATTCGTTACATTACAAGCGACTTCAAAAATAGAAGATTACAAATCTTACAAGACCCAACGAACTCGGCACCACGAAAAGCAAGGTAGCAAAGAGGAGCGCGGACACGGCTAGGCTCTGGAGCGACTACGTGTCCCAAATTGCTACTCGGAAGGACAAACCGCCATCGCCTACACTTTTTTTTCTTCAAAGGAAGGACTTGAGTGCACTCAAGGCGGAAATCGGCAAAGATGGCGAGGACAACATGGAGCGAGAGAAGGCGGGGGGCATCTGTCTACCCAAGACCGATGTGATACTGCATATGGTGTTGATCTGCGCCGAACAGTCTCAAGACAAGCGACGAGGATCAACCCAGAACGGCCAGATGAAGAAACGAAGCCCACATCACAAGACTTACTCCAACTACCACCACATACATCCTGGCACAATGCTGTCACGGGATTAGCCTACCTCTAATCCCTATCACAAGACTTCCTCCAGCTACGACAAGACACACAGGAACTACAAAATATGCCCGGGGGCTGCTCTACTTCACAAACTACCATGCTCATGTCCACGAAGGTTTCAACGGAATATCCAATAGATGAAAACAAGCACTCCGGGACAGTATTTATAGACCAAAGGAGCGGCGCACATGGACCAGGAGTACCAACGAAATAAGCCTGACAAAGAACACAGTGAAAGGACAGGACTCAATAATGGACGACTCAGGCGAGAGGAAAACAGTACTCGAAGACGGGCATATTCGGAAGAATATACCATCACAGTACAACCCATGAACAAAAAGCATTTACACTCAACCACCACCATACAACTACATCTGACAGCAGCAGACTATCAAAGAATACGCCAAGACCTCGCATCCGAGTTCTTCCTGAACAAAACAACACGGATATACGCTCGGGGGCTCGGCCAGCATCATAGCTTAATCAACACTAAGCTAGGGAATTCAGCCCTCATTTCAACTACTCCCGGGGGCTCAGAACCAAAGACAAAAGACAAAAAGTACAAGAAACTCAAGACTACAACGATGACGACGCATCAAGACTCTTCAACCGACTTCTTTTCCAAAAGAAAAGAACTCGGAGAAAGCACGAGGCTGCGGGATACATAGCCCTAGAATTTTTTGAAGACAGGAATCTGGACCCTCCAACTTTTGCAAGCAAAAGCAAGAGGCTCGGGGGCTACACTCAGTGAGTGCAATTTTTATGAAAAATTGCACCCACCAAAAAAAGAACCCGGACATAGGCTCGGAGGCTGCACGCCATGAAACTACTCGGATGATGGTTTAATCCAAGACTAAAGGACCGCTTCGGAAAGATACTACAGAAACTACTCGGATGATGGTTTAATCCAAGACTAAAGGACCGCTTCGGAAAAATACCACAAAAACTACTCGGATGATGACAAAATTCAAGTCTCGGGGGCTACTTCAGAGCAAAGATTTTCAAACAAACATAAAGGATCAAGACCCTCCAACTTTTTGTTCCAAATAGCAAGAGGCTCGGGGGCTACACTTAGTGAGTGCACTTTTTCTCCGAAAAAGCGTACGTCACCAAAAGACTTCCTCAACGCAGACTACTTCAAGACATTATGACAAAAAGAACCCGGAACGAGCCATATTCGAGTTCTTTTTGACAAAACTTCAGCGAACAATCAGAGCAACTTCAAGAAAAGATCCTCCAGCTCCTTGTTCCAAATAGCAAGAGGCTCGGGGGCTACAACCAGATGGATGTACTTTTTCTTCACAAAATACTCACCACTCAAAGGTCCCAAGAAGCGCTACAAGGTTTCACTCCAGAAAGCACTCGAATAACATCTTGTTCCTACCTAACAAGACCTGAAGGAGCAAAGCGAGACTTTCAGAGCTCAACCATGAAGTGCTCGGGGGCTTGTCGATGTGGGACCTACAGGATACCCCGCAAGAGAGATAAAAGATCTAGTTCAACTAGGATTCTTCCCATGTAATCTTAAACTATTAAGTAATCCTACTAGGAAATCTCATTGTAAACCGACTAGGACTCTGGCCTCCTGATAATATAAAGGAGGGTAGGGCTCCTGAAAGAGGGGACAACTATTGTACAACATAACACTTCATAATCAATCCAACGCAAAAGGCAAAACACCGACTGGACGTAGGGTCGTTACTCGATCTGCGATCGAGGGCCTGAACCAGGATAAATCGACTGTCTCTTGCGTTTACCATCGAGTTCAGCATACGCCGAAGCCCGAACGATACTGCCACGGTACCCCTGTGGCAGGCTATCGGTGGTAAAACATCGACACCTTGGTAGGCTTAGAGAGGAGCAAGTATGAGACTGGTCCAACAAGCACCAGGACTGGATCAATGCCGAGCTGCATGAGGTGCAAAATCATAAGTTTGCAGACATTATTTTTCATAAAAGAAAATAGCATGCCCCTTCCTTTATAGGGTGAAAACCACAAACATATAAGAAAAAAAGCACTACAGGGCATCCTATGATATTGCCATTATGCAATGTTGAATGAGAAAATAGTTTTGTGGCGGTTATGTATTACTGTCAAGATGGCAAAATCAGTATGCTCCAAGATTGTCCATCTTTGACTTCAAATAAGGTTTGCAAAGACAGTGGGTTAACTTATAGTTTACTTCAATGTTATGGAATATCTTGAAGGCGTCAAACCAGTCAAGGATTCAAATAAGCCATAGGTTCAGTAGAGCTGAAGTTCTTTTATCAAAAGGAAGCGTGTTCTAAGTAAACAATATTTGTCAAATCATAATCAAATAGCTGGGAGACATAAATATCGGTTGCTACATTTTTTCCTGTTACTAAACCGTGCAGCCACACAAACAAATTATGATGAGAAGGGTAAATGAACTAAATTACAAATAGCTGAGAGTATCTGTTGTTACAGCAACATACCGCCTTTGCCTCCTTGTACTCAGAGACAGCCTTGTGTGAAGCGTATGTGAACTTGGTGCTTTAGCCAAGCTCAGGGACAATAAAGTGTCTGCAAAGAATAAGGTAATAAAAAATGTTAGACCAATACCACAAAAAAAAGCCACCAACAGTAAGCATTCAAGAGACAGAAGTCCAAGAGTAGCGCTCTGGGACAGCGCCAAGCATGGCCGTGGTATCAAGGACCTAGTCGTAGTACGAGAAGGTGTTGCTGGGAATGTACTTGATCCCACCTTCTGACATTTGCTTCCAGATGCTAGACCTGAGGTCAGTGGCAACTTTCTCCAAATCCTTGGCGCTGCTCTTCCCATCCCAGAAAGACTCCAAGGCAAACTTGAGCTCCCTCTTGGGGCCCATGCGAGAGTATCCAACAATATGGGACGCCATCTTTCTATAACAGAAAAAGGTTAAACTCAGTTTGATTCACAGCAACATGGAAGCTGAATATTTGTCTCAACAAAGCTGCAAATAAGCTAAAACAATATTATGTATATTTCACTGAACCATAAACTGAACTCAATTCTTCTCCTCCCATGTGAAACTCTAAATTCATTCTGCATGTGTTCCTCCCATAAGATCTAAAAGCTTTGGTGGAAAGAAATACCTCTGGTCAATCAAGGATGTTTCTTTAAACTGGGAAGGATTAACCATACCATGGAGGTATGATATATGCACTACAGTCCTCCATTTAGACGTGCTTACCCTTGGACCATGGAGCGGGGTAGTAGCGCCTAGGGACGAGGAGAGGCTGGCGCCTTTAGTAATATCATCCTATTCATTTGGGTCCCCTACTTCTACCCTTTCATGCTGGCTGCTATTTGTGAAAAAACTAGAACTAGGTTCACCATGATTCACCCATATTATATATCCATCCGTAAATCCCTCACATATCAAGTGCTCAAGTACAATATTACGGACCCTCCAACAAGAGTTCTTGCATGCCTTGTAGGGACATAAAATCTGATTTCCTTTTGTTGAATTACTAAAGGCAAACTCTAAAAACATATCCACTCCTCTATACACAACGGTTTGCCTACATATGATTATCAAGATATCAGACCAAACACCCTATGCATGCAGATTCTAGTATATGGTCACAGGTTTATTATGTACCTAGGCTGATCCATCCATGTTTTATCCATGACACACCTTTTATAAAATGCAGTGTCAAAATAGTGAAATATTACTCCCAAAATAAAAAATCGTTCAGTTCAAATAGGGTTGTTCAACAAAAAAATAAAGATCTTGCCAAACAATTGTCCAAATTAAATCAATTTCACCACACTTGATGCTAAAAAATCGTCTCACAACAAATCAACAACCGGAACTATTGGGGAAATTTAGTCCAGTTTTTAGAATCTAAAATCATCACATCACAGATTACACACAACCTACAATTCTATGCGAAATGCAGAGACAAAGTTCAGAAGAAAAGAAAAACATACCAATCAAGCAATTACAGTAGAAGACCAGATGAAGACTAGAAGGCCAACTTGCTCGTGCTCCCTGCAGATAATATTACCAACACTAATTAATCACACAAGGCAATACAAATAAGTTGAAAACCTAAGCACAAGCAAACTTACTTCCAAGCTACAGTTGGTGACGACTTGTGTAGGAAGAAAAATTGAAGAGTTGAATCCTTTAGTGCTTCCTTATTGGATATTTTGCAACATGCACAAGAAAGAAAGAAATACTCAGATCTGATATTTTTACAACAAGGAGACATGTATGCATTTCAATAGTTTCAAGACTAACTTATAATTCCACCTGTAGCTTAAAGTTCAATTGATTCCCTTCCCTATCTTTTTATATAGAATAGTCACAGCATGTTTTTTTTTGCATAAAGGACCAAAGTGAAAAGACTATGAATTCCCATCAGTGTAAACTTTGCCTTCATATACTACAAATAAGTTGTAGATCGAGCATAAGAAAACTTACATGCAACCTGATTGACTGTGTCGTGTACAAGATCTTGAATCCTGCTGGTTCCTATGCAAAATCAACTAAGGCAGTAAACATCACATCTAAATCAAGCCTTCTCCAAAGAGGGGAAGAGAGGGCGCATCTAGACTGAATGAAAGTTTGGCAGGAGAAGTAACCCAAACCTTGAATCTTTCTAGCCTTTCTCACCTTCGTCTACTCCTTTCTACAACCAAGAAAAAAATATAAGAAATTAAGCTGTGGCGAAACCCTAGCACTCAGGGGAATGGGGATGAGAGGAAGGGGATTCAGAGATGACGCACCTGGATGCAGAGAGGAATGGGGATGCAGCGGTGGCACCGCTCTTGCTGGCCGGCGGTGGGCTAGGGCGACGGCGGGCTTGGGGGCGGTAGGCTTGGGCGGCGGCAGGCTAGGGCAACTGGGGGCTGGGGCGGCGGCATTCGTTGGATTCGGCGGCTTGGGCTAGGGCTGTAGGCTGCAGGGCTTCGGCCAGGGACGACTTCGGCACCAGTGGGATTGGGAGGCGGTGATTTGGGTGGGCGTTAGTGGCGGCGGCCGCATCAGGTGCTTGCCTCCGGCATCAGCTCCTGGCGGCACCTGGCAGTGGAGCCCTGCTAGCGGCACCCGGTGTCAGAGCAGTGGTGGTGGCACCCGGCGGCTGTGCCCTCGCAAGAGCAAGTTTTTCTTTTTTTCTAAAGTCTGCGTGAGTGGAAGGGGAGTAGGGAACGAAGGGTGGGCAGCCTGTTTTAGTGGCTTAGCCTTTTTCTGATAAAAAAAGGATATTTAGCTCCCGCGCACGGTTTTGTTTTGGCACGCGATCTCCCGCCCACACAGGCATCTCTATTTTGCTTCGGGGCCTAACCTTCTTCGACACTTGGACAGTGGTTTAGGTAGGATACAATGACACTTTCTTTGTCTAAAAACTTTCGCCAACACTTTATGTGTTAGAAGGAGAAACGCCGACATATAAGTTGTAGCTTTACATTACTATTGCCGACAGTTTAAGTGATGCTAAAAAGGTAAAGAATTGCCAACACATTATGTGTTGCCAAAACCCTTGATTTACCAACACATAATTGTAGGAAAAGGTGGGTTGTGGTGTAGTGGTAGATCAGAGCTCATCTGAGCCAGTTCAGGGTGCCACTACTAGTCAAATACAGTATAATCCTGGATCGTCAGAACAGCATGTGCAATAGCCGACGGGGCAAATCCAGAATCAAATGGTCAATTTTGGCACATCAAGCCAAATACCGTCGTCGGCTCAAAAAATAGCACCATCAGTTCAAATGATTCGTAGAGATATAGATCCTAACATCTATAGCCAGAGACTTCAAGCAGCAAACCAACAAAGGACCCAACAGATAGAGGTTCCACAAGGACATCATTATTGCACAGATTACAACACCCTTCACATGATTCCAAATCCGGGATATCAAGGTACCGAAATTTTAATCCACAGATGGGTCAGCAATTGTAAAGAAATCCAAATTCAAATGCTGATGAGTTGTTGCTTAGAGTGACTGAGATGATGAAGAATCAGTTCGGTTTGAAGCCAAAAGGGCAGACCTTCTCGTACAAACGTCCATATCCAGAGTGGTATGATTTGGTCACTCTTCCTACAAATTATAGGCTCCCAGAGTTTGCTAAGTTCACTGGCCAAGATAGCATAAGCACAATAGAATATATCAGTTGGTATCTTACACAGTTAGGCGAAGAATCCTTTGAAGAGGTCCATCGAGTTTGTTTCTTCTCCTTGTCCTTGTCAGGACCAGCCTTCACTTGGTTTTCATCGCTGCCAGTTAACTCTATTGCCAATTGGGCTGACCAAGAGAAAAAGTTTCATACACATTTCTACACTAGGATAGGAGAAAAGAAGATTACCAATTTGATGACTATAAGGCAGAGAACTAATGAATCGGGCACCGAGTTTCTTTAGAGGTTCCGAGAGACTAAAAATTTGTGCTTCTCATTAAACTTGACTGATGACCAGCTAGCTACTTTGGTTGTTCAAGGAATGTTGCCAATGTGGAGAGAGAAGCTGCTGGGACAAGAGTTTGACAACTTGGGTCAGTTGGCTCAATGAGTGGCAGCGCTCAATAGCCAATTCCAGAATATGCACAGAGATACCCGATTCTAGAAAAGTACCGCAATTGCCGAAGCCTATAATCCATATTCAGTCGAAGACAGCTATGAGGACGACGAAGAAGAAGAGGTTGCTGCGGTTGAATGGAATTGGGGTAAGAAGACAGTATTGGTGTCAAATCCTTGGGGAAGAGGAGTCGAAGAGAGCTATTATTTCGATGTCACAAAATCAGATAAGCTCTTCGATTTCTTGCTTGAGAAGGAACAGATCAAGTTGCCCGATAATCATTTTATGTTGCCCCCTGATCAGTTGAAGAATAAGAAGTTCTGCAAATTTCAAAACACTATTTGTCATTCCACTAATGAGTGCAGAGTTTTTCGACAACATATACAGAGGCTATTCAACAAGGAAGGCTCAAATTTGATACACCTCAAAAGATGAAAGTAGATGATAATCCTTTACCAAGAGATCAGAACATGGTTGATGCTAGGTTGCTCAAAGCGAAGACTAAAGTCCTAACATCAACTAGATCAAGAGAAGCTGGAATAGTCGATCCCGAGATGCAAATATCGGCTGATGAATATAGAGAAATTAGAAGGCATCATGACCAACAAAAGAGTTGATATGAGCAGGGAGAGACGTTAAGGGATTGGGCGACAAGGCCACATGTTACATCTCAAATTTTGTTGAATAAATGGCAGCAGCAAAAGAAAAAGGATTATCAGTGTTGGTTAGAAGAGTAAGAATACCAGTGTCAACAGGAAAAAGAGAGATATGAAAAAAAGCAGGCTGAATCACATTGGAATTGTCCTTTCTTCAGACATTGCTGGAATGAAGGTTTGAAATTGCCTACTAGAAATAACTGTTCGGAGTGTAGCGAGCAATATTGGGAGTTTAGGAAATCTCAAGCCAACCGCAGGTCTATCCATGCTAGAGAACAGTATCATCATGATAGTATGGATCAGCCCATAAAAAATAGAAGTGTTCATGATCGGCTTGGGAAGCGAGCTGTTGATCAAAATTGGGCTGATTATGAAGAGGAAAGTAATGAGGAAGAATATGTCTGGCAGAAAGGCCAATGGTGTCTAGGAGGCCTGACAAGAAGCTAGAAAAGAAGGGTGCAACGCCTAAGGAATAGAGAACTAGAACAGGCTTAGGCATTTGGTAGACCTCAGGTGTGGCGTGCTAAACAAACAGCTGATAGGGGGCAACCATCGGCTAATATTCAAATGGCTTTCCTATTGTCGTTAGAGTTTAGAGCTCCAGCAGACCAAGAAGTTTATTCAGATTTTGACGAATTGGAGTATGAGGAAATAGTTGTCAAGTTAACAGTGATACAGCAGGCTATATTCGATAAGCC